GGGCCATTCATTCAGATTATAAAGCAGCATGTTTGAAATAAACAAAAGTATGTCTTTTTTTTATGTAACTTGTAATTAAATTGCAGAAGTGATTGCCCCATCATATTGGGTTCAGAAGAGATTAGACAAATTTATACAGGAAAGATCCAGCAGGACAATGGTCTAGCAAGTGATTTAGGAAGGTTAATAGGTACATGATTGCTGAAAGTTGGAGGAGCATGCCAGCAATGATTCTGTTCCATCTCTAGAGTCTTCTCCTGAGTGTCAACTACATGGCAGTGTCAAAGAGAGGATGCTGGGCTAGATATTCTTTTGGTATAAGAATAGCTATGACTACAGCAAATCTAGTAATGTGATTTTTTTTTTTTTTTTTTTTTTTTTAATGAGACTTCCAGCCAGCTTTCTGACTAGAAATATTCAGAATATAATGATTTTAAAATTCCAGAATCAGGCACTTATATTTTCTGAATTTGCTGTTGCTAATTATATCTCTTACAAATACAAGATATCCTCAGTGGTGTTTTGTCTGCAGTATTGCTGTCAGTAGGTCGTCTCTGTTTCGTGATGTTCTGCACTGATAAGATAGGTATCTTAGAGAAATCTTCCAAAAGTTTCAAAGAGTATCTTAGAGCAAAACTAGCAGGATCAGCTCCCTGGATCATGAGTCTTGTTTTTAGAAGTCTCCAGAGAATCTTAGTGCTACAGTAAGTGAATTGTACTGTCGCTCCCAAATGCTTTGGAGACCTTTAAGATGAGACTCAGATTTCTGAGGGGGTTTAGTGCTTATGAAAATGCTTATGTGAAAGAAAAATGTCAGAAGGAAGGAAGAGAAGATCATGGGAGGAAGTGAGCAGTGGACATACTGTACTTGACATTGACTCTGTATAGAGTTTCCATTTTTGTGTCTTCCTTCTTGTGGTTTTGGTTTCAGGTACCCTTAGCAGACCATCCAGGACACTTGATCAGAATAGCTTCTTTAGGCCAAATACTGCAGGAAGCTCTGAGCCAGATCAAGGTGAAATACCAGTGGAGCTAGTTTGAAAAGTTCATCAGATAAATTAAATGAGAAACTGAAAGCATTTGTTTATTTAATAAATAAAACATCTATCTTTATCAACTGTAATGTTTCCTACCCTTTGATACTGTTCCACACTACCGCTCTCTAGAGGATCTCATCTTACAAAGATACAAAACACAAGTTTGATTATGTGAAGGCGGTGGGCCAAAAAGCTAGAGGTCTTATGCAAATTCAGATATGCATTAGTTTTCATATTGCTTCTGATATATAGATATATCTAGATATGTATGTATATATGCATCCATTATCTTTCCTTCTCTTTTGAAAGATACTTCTCCTTTCCCAGCCTCCCATATTCCTTGTTCTTGATGGTGACTGACCAATTTGAAGTCCAGACCCTCATTTCCCTGGAAATATGGGTTTGTCACTCTGGTTTAAACTCTGTATAAGCAATTCTAGTTCTTGTGCTGATTTGTCATCTTAGCTATTTATTTATGCTGGTTAGGGGGTAGTTAAGGGCTGTGGAAACTGAGTTATTTCTTGATCCTTGCATCAGGTTACACATAATCACTGGACAGTTCTTTGTGATGAGTGTTACAGAGAATGGTTTAAAGACATTTGTTCACTTTTGCCTAGTTTTTCCTCCTCTTTTTAAGGATGAGGGTTGGAGCATCCATGTAGGATAACTGTTTGAGCTCAGCTCAGATGAGAACCTTTTTCCATCCTTTTGTGAGTTTGGATTGAGTAGGTTTGTTGAAACCTTGCTCCAGCTTCCACCCTAGAATCATCAGCAAGATTTTGAGGCTCAGCCCTCCTGTAAGCAATGGATAATGTACTGTTAGGAATCAGTACACTGTCAGGTGGTGAGGCAGAGCTGGATGAAAGAACTTTTGCCAGATAAGGAACCTAGGAAATGGATTTGAATTTCCATACACCAGTTTAAAGGAAGGGAGACCTGCACCTGCTGCCTTGCGGCAGCCATCCTCAGCCCTGGTTCTGGTTAAGATGAGCAGTGGTAGCTCATTTTGTGCGAAAGGTTGTCTGTTTGCTCTGAAAAAAAAAAAAAAAAGTAATTCAATTTTATAGTGTAATAAAGGAAGTGAGCTTTGTATTTGTGCTCAGTACATTTTAAAGTTTTAAAAATGGCATTAGTTGGGGCTTAGAGAAGGTGTTTGAGTCTTTTTCCCTGGGATGCATGTCTTCAGCAGGTGTAAACTGTCACACAGAGTGGCAACAATTAGAGCTCCTGAGGATCCACCCTCAGTTTTTCAAAACAGTCAGCAGCCCAGTTTGACATATAAAACCTCCAAAACTGGAGCCAGAAGAGCTTTATTGAAAACCTGGCTACTTATTTTGGTGTTTATGTGGAACTTAATCTCTAGAAAATCTGCTCCAAAATGCAATCTCACATATGCTGCATTACCGCTGCTTACACATTCAGCCGGGTAACTTGAGCTTCACTGAAGAAGGGTTCCACAAACAACGAAGGAAAGAAAAAGCCCCTTTGGCAGCTATTTCATTTGTGAGCTTTGAAAAAAGTCAGACACGTGAAGGAATTATTCTGCCAGATCTACAGAGTCCATGGAGTTCTCTCTCCTAACTTCAGAAGACTTCTTTAACCCATTCTTTAAACTGAGTTAGTAATAGGCTGATCATAAAGTGATTTTATTGGGAAGAAAGTTTACCAAGTAAATAATTCAGCAAATATTTTCCAGGCAGCCATGTCCAACAGATTGCTCAGTATGGTAGATAATAAGCAATAGTGCCTTTTAAGAATGAGTGCTCCAAAAAACCTGACCTTAGTAGGACTGAGGCCTGGGAAGAGAAAATGTTAATCCTACACCACCCGGCCAAGATTTACTGGAAGGCATGTAGTATGAAGATAGAGATATAGGAGTCCTAGATCCCAGCTGGTCCCTTTCTTCAACCCCTTCTCTTCATAAATTCATATTAAAATAATTTTGAGCCAAGTAATTGAAAACAATTGGAAGAAATTTCTCATAGTAAAAATTTTTAAGGACTTTAAATTGTAATAACTTTTATTCCAGCATATGGATTTGAGGCTTGGTGGTAAATTGAGCTGTCTCTTTATGGAAGTGGTAAATCACCAGAATTTGCTATCAAGAGCAGAAAAAAATGTTTATAAATCATTACATTTGTTTCAGATTATTCATCAGAGCTGGAAGGCAATTGTTCAAGTTGCTTTGTGATACTATAAACAGAGCTCTGGGAAGGCCATGTACTTTGTAGCAAAATTTTGGGGTTTGTACATACAGCAACTGAGACTTTCCTTCAGTACATGTTCAACTGATCTTCCAGAGAGGAGAATCTGGATTCCAGTGGCCTGTTTTGAAGATACAGGTTTGAACAGGCGCTAATAGGGCAGCAAGGTCTGCTGACTCATAGAGGAAGGGTCTCACAAAGTTGTCTTATTTATCATTCCTTCTTATACTGCAGTAGGCAAGGAAAGACTTAACTTCTCCTTTTCCTGTGTGCTCCCAAACTGCTCTGATGGGTTTATGAAAAGGTTCAAATCTGGAAAAGAGTAAGAACTGAGGGTGGGGAGGATTTTGATACAGAAAATGTGGGATAATAGTGTTTAACATTTCCTAGTAAATAAAAAAAAAAAAACAAAACAAACCAAAAAGGACTGTCTACACACTTGCATTGTAGTTCAAGACAGGAGGACATTGCCTGGTTGCCCTGGGTACTGCTGTAATTGCCCTGGAGCTTTTTTTTTCTCTGTGAGAAAGAGCTACAGTTTCTGTCACATGAAGTGCAGGCAGCACACCAGCACAAGCAGCAATAGCAGGTTTAGCTGAGCAAGCTGCCGGAACTAACACGTGTTCCTGCATTACTTACTGGCTGAGTTTCTGTAGCATTTCAGATCTTCCCAGCCTTGCCTGCAAGAGTGCCGGCAAAAGCAGCTTGGTTTTACCTTAGTGTACTGTGGCTAGTCCTGGAGGAATTAATTTCTGCAGGAGCTGTGCCAGCTCATCTGAGGCTTTCAGTGTTTTGGATCCTTTAGCTTTGTTGTGTTTTTATCACCCTCCAAAAATAAAATGAAATCAAAACACACACCAACTCATTTGCTGACATGTTGGCACATACTGTGAAATAACTAACTGGTTGCAGAGTCTCTGTAAAGAGGAAAACATGAATTTTTCAGGTGGCAAGTTGCTTTTATCCAAAGAAAAAACAGAAAATTGATATGATATACCTTTTATGGGCAAAACAGGGTTGAATGTGGGTCAGATATCTTTTAGTGGCAGTGGTTTCCCAATGCTGAAACATATGTCTCTGTTAAACACAACAGCATAAAAACTTTTATGCCAAAAAGACGTGATGGGGGGGTAGGCAGGGACCCTCAAAACAGCCAGTAGCTAATGCTGCCTTTGTGGTTTTATATATTTGCCTATTAAAATGACAATACAGACATGGAACATTTAGATTTAAGAAGCCTTCTTTTCATTAAACAACATTAAACAAACTGACAAAGTAGGGGGTTATGACTCCAGTAATTGAAACATGCTGTTCTGTTCAAGACCAGAACTCTATAAAGACTCTTTTCACCCAGTAATGCCCTTTGTGTTTGCCTGCTACCCCTGCTAGAAATTACTGTAGGCCTGAAGTATGTCTTTCCAAGTGGAGTGGGAATGACAGAGTGCAACACCACACTTGGCAGATGGGGTCACAGCCTTTTTAGGACGTTAACGTTCATTGTGCATTGGAAATCAATTTGCAGATCAGAATGCATGGAGACATAGCTGGATTCCCCTCCCCACTGTTTTTTTTACATTAACTTTAAACCTAGGATGCAGGCAAAATAATTAAATGGCTTAACTTGGATTAACTCTGATGGAGTTCAGGTAGTTTTCATTAGCTTAATTTACAGTGTGCCTTTTTGTGGGTTCCTTGCTCTTCTAGATGTATATCCTGAATCTGTACATTATCTTTCATTTCTTTTTCTTCTCTCTTCTAGATGTTGATGAGTGTCAGGATAACAATGGAGGGTGCCAGCAGATTTGTGTAAATACTATGGGCAGCTATGAATGTCAATGCAAAGAGGGCTTTTTTCTGAGTGATAACCAGCATACCTGCATTCATCGCTCCATTGGTAAGTTTTCAGTGTGTAAATTGTGCTCTTTAGAATAACTGTGTTTCATTAGAAATGCAGAAACTGTTGAGAGGGTTGATTTTCATCCCCAGAACTCCCTAAATAATTTCACTGCTTGGTTGGAATTGATTGATTCCTCTGCTATCCAAACTTGTAGCAGAGCCATAAATAAGACAGGTGACAAGGCTTTAATTTTTCACGAAAATGATACTTTGTTCAAACATCAGACTCTTTGGGCAGGCAGAGGCAGATTTTCAAATGGCAACTTTCTGCTTCTCAGTTTCCAAGACTTAAAATTTTCTCATCTGTTTATTGTATAATCGTTCACCTGTCTTCCACCTTAGAGAGCATGGTATTTTAAATCAAAATGAACAGCTTGTTGCTTCTGGAAGTTATACAGGTTATGTTTTTTTTGCCAGTCATGTAACTCATTGCTTCACTGCAGACTGATGATGGCTGATACTATATTGACACAACATTTTTCTTTGGTTCAGTACCCAGTGGAGGGTGGATTAGAAAACTGCTTCTCTGTTGCCTATGCACTAGCAGTAGAAATAAGGAATCCCTTCAAAACTGTGATCCTTGTCTGCTGCTGATTTTGACTAGAATAAGCAGCTCTCCCTTTTCTATACATGTCAGACATGGAAGACAAGTTTGAGTGGAAAGGGAGAAAAGAAAACAGCATAGCTATAAATCTTTGCAGTTAAGTGGAGTCTTTATGTGCTCATTCAGACTTCTGGTGACCCTGGCAGCAATGGGAATATATGCTAGCAAACTCATTTACCAATAGGCAATACAGAATGACAGAGTAGTAAGATGAGTCTGGTGATCAACAATGTAAGCATGCTGTAAATTTCAACAAGCCACACAAATGGTTCTGAACTATTTTGAGTCACTAAAATTAACCAGAAAATCCTACTTGAATATAGAGTATGAATTTTAGTCACTCTGTTGACAAGAAAGCAAAACGTTTTAGCGTAGCCTCTCAGAAATGTAAATGTATTTCTGCACTGTGTGTCTGCTTTCACAGAATTGTAGAGACAAGTAGTAATTTTCATTTTCAGAAATGTGAATCTCCAAAATATATTCACAGGTCCACTTTTTAGCATGATTAATTAGTTTTAAGCAATTGAGGTATTTTGACTATGACAAGAGCATACGATTAAGCTCCATCAGCCACTGCATTTTAAAGGTTGTTATCTAATAGATTTTTAGTTATTCTTTTCAACATGAATTGTTCAAATTTCTATCCAGCGTAAAGTAACCCTGACACAAAGATATCCAGCAGAGCAAGGAATAGTAGCTGGAGGCTTAATGAAAACCACTTGCGAAGTACTGCGATACAATCATTATTTCAATTTGCACATTATAAAAATTCCCAGCTGTAATAAAAGAGAATTTAGTTATCTGAGCTGGAAACTAATTAAATGAATGAAAAATGAGACTTTAAAGGCAAAACTTTCTTCTAACGAATAGATTTATTGAAGGAAAAGGATAAGTTTTTATGGCAAAGAGGATTCCTAGTTTGCCGGAAGGACTGGGGAAGTGGATTTGAAGGTTGACGGCTGTATGCACATAATAAATATGCATGGGAATAATGTATTTGTGTTAACTTGTTTACAAAGAAAATGCCATATTAAGACATGGATGTTTAATTTAAAGCAACATCTTAAAATTTTTCTAGATCTGAAAAATCCAAGCAACCTACCAAATAGACCAATGGTGATTGCAAAGTGTTTTATGAACAAATGGTTTGTAGCTTTTCAAAAATAAAATGCCAGTTTACAATAACAGCAAATGCTACACTGTAGTGCCATCATCCCCCACAGAAAGACATTGGGTGGATATTCTGGAGGAAGGAAATGAGATGAAATTATCTCTTTCAGTTTTCAGAGGTGACTGAACTGCAAATAGTAAACATGCATGGTGAGAAAGTAAATGGCTTTTTAAATATCTCTGTTTACTCACTTTCATCTGTCTCACTTGTAAGCAGTGCTACAGAAACTGTTGAAACACAAAAATACGCATCAACATATTTAGCCAGAATTGTGCCTAGGGCTAGACTGTATCTGTACCTCTGTTGATAAACAAGACTGAAGTGGACAAAGGCACACCACACAGCCAGCATTGCAATCCAAACACAAAGGCGCTGACTTGCCAAAGCCCTTCAGCAAGCTTGTTGACTTTGAGCATAATAAGATCCATTAATTGCAGTGGGATTGCTTTTCTGTCTCTGAAAAATGCATGTGCAGTCACACAATCTCGGTGTCCTTGACATTACCTAAAGTCTCTTCAAGGACTCAGCTAAAACAATCAACCACAAGGCTCTTCATGCAGTTTGCCGCCACCTTTTCCCTCCTGTTTTCAAATGCCTTGGGAAAAGGGGAGAAGCATTGCAAGGTGCTTAGGATGCCCTTAGAGTTGGGGTGAATTCAGAATGGAGGGAGCAGTACCAGGCCTAAGCAATGCCCTGTCTGCAGGCCCAGCTCACCTGCCGCAGCCATCAGCAAGGCTGGTGCTGCTCAAGTGTTCTGAGCTCATCAGCGCATTCAAGTGATGTGGTAGTTTCAGAGCTGAAAAAGGCATTGGATATTCTCTTGGGGGTTGAGCAGAGGAAAGAATATGTCCCTTTTTGCACTAACCAGCCAAGGGAAAGGTGTCTTCCAGTAAGAAGAACCCTCCTTAAAATTGTTGGCAGCTGTGTGGATTTCCTCGGTTTATAGAGATGCGCTGCGACTGCCTCAGTGTTTCAGGGGTCTGTTGTGCCACTGTGCTCCTACCCATAAGCTGTGGTTAAAAGCCACACTGGAGTTCATGTTACGGGCTTTTAATATTATCGTTGTGTCCCAAATGACATGTTTGCTTGCCATCTAGAAGTGTACTATTTCCTGTAGACAAAAAGCATTAATGATGCATGAGAAATATAAATTTTATACCAACAGGAGGCCAGGCTAACATTAAAGTCAAGGCAAACCCTTGTTTCCCAGTATCTGCTTTGTTTCACTGTCTTCATTATAGGCCTACTGATTCCTTATGTTTAATCTCAGTATCTTTTGGGAGGATACTATGCTCAGTACAACTTACCTCATTTATTTTTGCATAAAACTTAATTTCCCTTTGCTGAGTCAGATTTCAGTACTAGTTTACTCACAATAATGATGGCAACAATGGGGAGAGAGAATAAGAAGGAGAGTGGGTTGTAAAATACGAAGAACTTAACTGTTCTTTATCTTAGTTCATCTTAATTGCAATAATAGGTGTGAAAACTGTGAATTATACCAGAGACACATGTTTGTTTGTTTCCTTCTGACTTAAAAAGAAACCGTAATAGAACAGCTGTTACTGTATTTTCTCCAGCTCCAGAGAGAGCATGTGTTTAATAAATGTGGAGATTAGTATCATACACTACAGCTGTGACTGAATCAGGTGAGTGGGTTACAGCATGTTTTCCTTAATTTGATGATAAACCGAAAGCCCCAATTCAGCAAAGCCTCTGGGCACATCCTTAAAGTCCTAGTGATAGCAAAGTTGGTTAAAAAGCTGAACTGAGCTTAAAAGGGTTGAAAATAGACAGATCTTAGCTACATGCCTGTATCTCCACTGAAGTTCAGAGTGATCAGAATTAAGGGTATGGTATGTCCCATTTGAATTACAACTATAAAAGGTACTGTGGTCAGGAGCCCTGGCTACAAACTGCCTCACCAACCAAAATTCTCAGCTGAAGCATTATAGAAAGCCATTGCTGTCCCACCTCCAGAGGGCAAGTCTCCTAAAGCACCAAGGTTGTTTGATTACAAGCCAGATGCTTCAGGAGTTCTATGGCTAGGAAGACTTCTGTCATTTTAGATTCCGTCCCCTGAATGTCTACCTAAAGCACAGTTATATTAATGGTCTTATATCTGCTAATCATTCGCTGCCGGTGTTTTATACAGCTAGTGCTAAGTAGACTAAAAAGGCAGGTGCAATTAGGAGTAGCAATTATAAGTGGAGACAAGAAGAGATGGAGAAGTACCAGGCTGGAAGGCTGGAAATTACGATGGTCTGGTCAAATGGTGGAAAAGCTTTTTACACGGTTGTCACTATCGTTTTCAAGCCTGTTAAAAGAACATTTGGCACGGAAATGCTTTTTCACATCCCCTTATCCCATTAGCCTTATGTTCTTAGTAGAGTTTTAGGGAGTTTGACATAAAGTCAAGCTACCACATTAGCAAATTACCACACTACAAACAGAGTCTCAAAACCAGCTTCTGTCTTGCTGAACTAAAAGTGTAATAGTTTAGTCCCAGAGGAAAGGGAAACATGCTCAGCAAAGTTGTCTTGCATTTTTCACAGGCTATGTGGGCTTATGAAATGGTTTACCATGTTTGTGCTGATATATAGTAATTTGTTAAACTTTATTATATGTTTAAACCCATGCTAATATTGCAGTAGTAGCATAGGAGTCCTTTGGTCAGCTGACATCAAACTACCAAGTTTTTTATTCTTCTCCTGATTATAAAATAACCTTTGTTCAATTTTTTCATTCCTACTTTCCATGATTTATTTTTATTCTTTACCTGTCTTCTTAGTTCGATATGATTTTATAGCAGTAGAATAATGTGTTAGGACTCCCTGGGAGGAGGCATGATCCCCAGTCAATGCAGGAAAGGTTACAAGTTGGGATTCTGGACTTTATTCCCATCTCTGGCGCTGATGTCTTGTGGGACTCTGGGCAAGAAGATTATTGTGACTCAGAATTTCTGCAAAGCACTTTAGAGGACAGAGGTGCTTTTTCTACAGAAAGCACAATAATCTATTCATATTTAGATTAATTTGAAAGGGTGACTTTAAATAATTAAGTGTTGCCAGCACCGTTCCAGACTTTATGAAGTACAAGGTTTCTCATCTCAACTATGAAAGCTCTTTCATGATGATGTAACTGGTTAAATTACTCCATTACTTGAATATACTTTGCCATAGCTACCCTGAGTACAGGCATCCCCTTCACTGAATCAGAACAG